TTATTTATTTATTTATTTATTTATTTATTTATTTTGTGGAAGGAAAACAAGTTTCTGAGCATTAGGTATGAGGTCAAATGTAGCTGTTATTTTGGGGGGAGGGATGTGTTCTTCATCAAGTTGAGAAAGTTCCATTCTATTCCCTGATGAGAAGTTTTGTCTTGATTTCTATGAGCAGGTTTTGAATTCTGTCTAACATTTTTTCTGCAGCTATTGATGTTAGCAAATGACATTTTCCCTTTTTGGTCTCTCGATGTATTAATTTGTTTTTACATGTTAAACCAGCCTTGCCCTAGGAGTAAATTCTACTCCCATTGTGTATTATTTTTATTCATTGCTGGGATTCAATTTGCTGACATTTTAAATGATTTTTGCACTGATATTCATGAGAGATACTGGTCTGTAGTTTTCTTGTAATGTTTCTTGCCTAGTTTTAGTAGTAGTAGGGCACTGGGATCATCAGTGAGTTAGGAATCTGACCACCATTTCTACATTTCCAAAGAGACTGTAGAAAGTTGATATGATTTATTCCTTAAATATGTGATAGAATTTACCAAAGAACCCATCTGGAGTTAATATTTCTATTGTTAATTATTTATTCCATTTCTTTCACAAAGAAGGCCTATATTGACCATGTTCTCTTGAAATGTGCTCTGAAATTCCATTGCATTATTTTTTCCCCAAAGAATTTTAGGCTGTGGAGTAATTTAAATCCTTCTAAAATTCCACACAGTTACCTCTAAAATTTCCTTATAAAGTTTCAACTTATTTGGATTTAAAACCTTAGGCTACTTTCTATTTAAGCATACTGTTCTTTTGGAATCTCTTTACATTTTTTAAAAAAAGTTACAGATAGTACAGGCAGTTACAATACCCCAAACTTAGTTTTCCTACTGTTAGCAAATCATATTACTACATTGCTATCACTATACCAATACTATATACAACTGCCGCAATAAACCGTATCAATACACTGCTATTAATTAAACTTTGTAATTTATCCAGATTTATATTTTTTCCTTAATGTTTTACTTTTGAATAATTTTCTTTTGAATACTTGTCTTTTTATCCCTCCTTCCACATTTATTTCTATTAAAATTTATTTCATGTATTATTAGGCATCTTTTAAAAAAGTTAAATAGTTTTCAATTTAATCATACAAAATTTAAAAGAATGAAAAATTAATTTTCTCTTCTAAATTTTTCCAAACTTATGCTTGTGAAAAGAAACTTTAAGAACATGACAGTGTCCTAAGGAAAAGTGCAAAAAGAAGGAAAAGAAAGGAAAGCTACATGTGCTCCTTTTGGTTGCTAGCTTTTTTTTTTAAATGGGGCTTTTTGCTACTCTAACATTTCCGCCTTCTGAAGAGGTAACCCTAAAATCTTTTAGGATTAGATAAAAGTTCCCAAATATTTTTGACATTTTTGGCTTTTGAAACAGAGTTATGTTGCTAAGAGGCCCAAGGACATTTTGACTTTTAGCCAAGGAACTGGCTACTTTTCTTTGGGGTCTTTTTACCCTAACCACCTAGCCAGAGGATGGTGTGATAAAACAGGAGGTAGGAATTGGCTAGGCATCATCTTTAACATGCTAAAATCTTTTGAATTATTAAAGTCATCTTTCATAAACCCCGTGCCTTGTATTTTGTTTTCTATAATTTCTATAAAAATATCTTCCCTAGGGCTGGAGAGATGGCTCAGTGGTTAAGAGCACTGGCTGCTCTTGTGGAGGACCCAGGTCTGATTCTCAGGATGCACATGGCATCTAACAACTGTCCATAATTCCAGTTCCAGGGAATCCAAAGCCCTCTTCTGACTTCCACAGGCATTGCACAACATGGGTGCACTTACATATATCCAGGCAATATACTCATACATATAAAATAAAAACAATAAATAAAATATTAAAAATATCTTCCCTATTTTTATCCATTGACAAAATTCTTGAATACACTGAGGTTTAAGATGCTGATCTGGCTCTAGAACCAGCCCAGTTCACAGCAATCCGTTAAATAATAAAGCAAACGCTTTATGCAACATGGGCAGCCCAACAACTTGTCCATTTGTACATTTTGTTCATAAGGATGTTATGAGTGAACGTCCCTCGATGCATTGCTTAAATTCAGACATAGTAGGTCAATTTCTCTACTCTAACCATTAGTGAAGAAATAACAAAATCATATTATGTGTTTAGCAATCTATGTTGGGCCTATTTGAACTTACTATCTCATCTAGAGACTCACAAAACAACCCAACTGTTTATACTAGAATCAAAGGAATGATGGTATTTAGTGGTAAAATCAATCTATTTTCTGAAAATTAGGACTACTTGTGCATATCGCTAGACTTTAAATTTGCTCATTCGACAAATTCTCTCCAAGTTACTTTGAGTGATGAAAAAAGTTAAAATCCATGAGTTATAAATAGTATAGGAAATGCTCTTTCCTTTTTAAATAACATGCCACTAGAGTCTTAAGCTCTTATAGTCGTTTGGAAATCTGTTTCTTTAAAGTCTAGAGTATTACTGTTTTCTTATATATCATAAATTCAAAGGTTACTTGGCTACTTTCTCTCAAAAGTCATCACTTCTTTTCTTTCAATTAACTCTACCGAGGTGTATATTTTATATTATTTATTTAAAATGTAATCTAATGTTTTATTCTGCAAATTCTCAGGTTGATGGGAACTCTGAAGAAAGTTGCTTTACACCATGGTGAACTGCCTCCACCTAGAGGTCATTTCAACTATAGAGGCTTTCACAAAATTAATGTATTTTCTTTGAATTGGAATTGAATATACCCTTAATGGGTGACAAACCACTCTGTTTCAACAACTACTAAAATAACTACATTCATTTCTTTGTAGTATTTGTGATTCAAGACCAATGCTACTTATATGGTAAGAAAGCAGGGACCACATACTGGAACAGAGGATGGTTGAACGTGTCAAAACACAACACCTACAATGTAGTTTCTGCTTTTCCACTTACTGTGTGACCCTGATTACTAATAATCAACACGTGTGTACACACACACACACACACACACACACACACACACAGCTTTACTCTCGTATGTAGAAAATGGAAACAGGCTATGGTGTGAATCATATGCTATAAGGCGTGTGGCTATAACTTGTAGACAATAGGGCATAGCACATATATAAAGCATATTTATAACTGTAGCCAAACCTGTTTGGCCAACAAATTGCAAACATACTTTATTATCTTAATTCCAAAAGTATTTTAGGTTGGCATGACAAAGACAATAGAGTCTTATACAAAGCTTATACAGCCTTAAAGTTACAACAGGCAAGCACTTTTCTAACAGAACTGCACCCCCAGACTTCCAATAGATTTTTATTTTGCAAAAAGAGGCAGCCCGTAGGCCAAAGTTTGTCATTCTTGTTGAATAAAGAAACTGTTTTTAATGTCTTAATATAATGAAAAAGATTCCAGGAGAATAGGATCTTTCTCAACATCCCATTACAATTACCCATGGAATCCATTTGTCTAAATTTCACCTATTATTTAAGTCAAAATGTGAGTTTCTCAGAGCCAGACATGGAGGCACAGGCCTTTAATTCCAGCACTTTGAAGGCAGAGGCAGGAAAAGGCCAGCCTGGTCCACATAGCAAGTTCCAGGCCAGCTGGGGCTATAGGGAGACCCTTTCTCAAAAACAAACAAAAAACCCTTAAATTTTAAGATTAAATTTACTATTTAACTGAATGATGAATTTCTATTCAGTAGCATAAATTTAAGAGTTAAGATTAAATTGACATTCAGATTTATTGAATTTGTATCAATTGAATTGATTTTAATTTTTTTTAGATTAAAATTGATACTGAAGCCAGGCATAGTGGCACATGCCTTTAATCCCAATACTCAGGAAGTAGAGGCAGGCAGATCTCTGTGAGACTGAGGCCAGTCTAGTCTCCATAGTGAGCTCCAAGCCAGCTACGGCTACAGGGAGCCTGTCTCAAAAAATACTAATTAATTAATTAATTAAAAAATAAAAGATACCAATAAAAATTTTGTGAAGCACAACTGGATCATTACTTTGTGATGATAAGATAGAATTTGGGAATTAAATTCCACTGTTATGAACCAGGTACTTTGTTTACAAAACACAGTGAAAGAAAAGATAAAGGAGATTAGAAGAAGACAAAGTAGGCAACTTACTAACTACCTTAACAAGACAAAGTTCAAGATACTTATGGAGTCCTCAGAGAAGATTCAATATTGTTCTTCTAGGAAAATTGAAAACTCACATTGATAACTGTCCTCATTGAAGATTAACCCTAAATGTACATTTTAAATGTGATTCTTCATGTGTTCAGTTGATTGTTGGAGAGAAGGAAGAGCAGAGAAAGAGGAACTGAAGAGGAGGAGGAAGAAGAGGAAGAGGAGAAGGAGGAGGAGGAAGGGAGGAAGGGAGAGAGGGAGGAGAAGCTTAGACTTGAGGGTGAAACAGATTTTTCTGTGTCCCTATCTGGCTAAACAGCTCCCAGACACCCAGTTTCCTAGGAGATGAAGAGAGAGTTTGCTTAATACGAATTCATTATAATACTTCTAAAAGTGAAAGAACAGAAGTATTTTAATACATAAGTTAATTTCTTAGCATATATTTGCATTATGTAAGTTAGATGATCTAGGCAAGTTAACTATAGATGTAAAAGTGAAGACTCTTATTCAGTGCACTGCTGATCTTAGAAATCTGTACTTGGTTGTTAATTTCAAAATCACCTCTTTACTTCTAACAGAAGCACCAAGGGTTAAGAGTGATGCCTTCCCCACTAAGTGCCTCACTTTTTTAAATGAAGAGGGCCTACTTCTACCCTTAGATGGTGTGCTGTGGAGATGACCTCGCTTCTAAGGATCACTTCATATTTTGGCATGTGTATCTTCAAGTTTGGGGAATATACAAAGCACTACTGGATTATTGCCTAAATTTTAAGTGAGAGCTTGTGAACAGAGCTCCCTCTGCTGATAGCAGAATAAACAAAAAGACATGCTTTGGGAAAATGGTTTACACTCGAGAGTCTGCTGGAAAAAAATCTTTAGTGATAAATGGGAACCTATGAAAACTTAGCTTTTGAGAGATTTTGCCTAATAGTGTATCTAAAGAAGTAAAATAACCCCAATGTGGGTGGATCTGAAAGCCTGTGCTGAAGAAAACATCATAATTTTGTACTGTATCTTCTTAGCATGTGGGGTAACTGTATGGCCAGTGAGAAAAACCAAGTCAAGAACAGCAACAACACCACCACCAACCAAAACCAAAAACTAAGGATCTAAAAATGTAAAAATGCAACTACAAGTAAAAGGAAGAATAATTTAAAACAACATATTTCTTTTGCCTTTCCTAATTTTCAGTGTACAAAGAGGTCTAAACAAAACAGAACAATGAAGCTCTTCTTTCTCTTTTGTTCCAAAGATACCTATATGTCCATCCAACTAGCTACTTTCCCTTTGAGCTTTCCTACACGCAAACTGAATTTTCCTTTGCCAGTGGAATTTGCGTCCCACACTCACTAGGTTAGAGGAAATGACCACTGTGCTTTGATTCTTTGATGCACTCTTACACTTGGTTTAGAAACATGCTACAATTTCTGTATATGTTTGCAAAGAGCCATATTTAACTAGATTTAATTATAATTTATCTTCAAAGGCATGAGATTGGCAGATTCTCTAAGAAATATACATAATTAAAATACACCAAATGAGGCACATGAGAATAAACATAACGAAAACAGTTGTCGCACTACCCACTAGCTTCGTCTCCAGTGGGTGTGGCTGACACGCTTAATGGTACAGTCATATTTAAGACCTCGCTGCAGTGTAGAGAGGCATCTTAAACACAAAGACTGCACGAATCCTCTACTTACCATAGATGGCAGTGTCCATTCAGGGGTGCTTTAGTAATAGCTCTTTCTCCTAAAGTTTTTCCTGAAAGATAAATGTACTTATGTTTTGTACCTTCATATGAGTCGGTAGGAGGTGGATTACTGAACTAGGTCAGTGGTTCCTAAACATGGTCCCAAGACTGAAAGTATTAGCATTACCTGGACACTTGTTAGAAGGGGACAATTTTACCACCTGTGAATCACTCATTCTCAGAATGGGGCCTGGTAATCTATGTTTTACTAACTTTGAACAATTTTGATGCATAATCAAATTTGAGACCCACTGGACTAACTGATGTAGGCAAGGACAAGAGGAGTTACTTATTGGTACTCAAAAAATATGTATTTTTGGTAATTAATTCAAACATTTGCTGAGTGCTCACTGCCATATTGTGTAACTACCCAAGGAATAAAACATTAAAGAAGACACAGCTCTTGACTTCCCAGGGCTCACATAGTTTAGTATGCACCAAGTATACAAACTAGGAAATTATGTGAAAAATAAGAACAATACCAAAACAGCACAGTAGGGGAGTGACTGTCTGCACGAGTGAGGAGGGCCTGAGATGCTCTTGCCTGGTCACGCACAACAATGGGTGGGTTCAGTGACATAAGTGGGTCCCTTAATTTATTCTAATTTTATTTTGCATAAAGGTTCATTTAATGGTTGATAATATTCTGAGACTCTTTCAGGGACATTTTCTATACCTGCTTCTTCCTTACTTCACCTGTAGTGTTTTTGTTTTGTTTTGTTTTGTTTTTTGGTTGTGCCTTGTGAAAACTAATGAAATGCAAAAGGCCTTTCTACACAAGCCACTGAGATAATCTTTATAAATAAGGTTCTAAAACCATTCTCCTATTTATTACTTGCTGAAGATGGCACTATGTAGCTTTATATATTAAGGGATCTATCCTGCATAGAAATCAACTTAACATGGAAAAACTAAAAAGTATTTTAATAATAGCCGATACTGTATTCAGACAAATATTAAAGAAGCCAGTAATTTTTAAATGGTTAACTAGGAACAGTCACTGTTTCTCTACATTTCTGACCAGTTGTGGAACTCTGTAATTCTCTCCAGCTGTTTCAAAAAGAAGCTTCTTTAACTTAACCCACTTACCTGTGGGTTTAAGGATAAGTATTTAGAATACAGTCAGAAATCACATTGGTTTAGGAAAGTGGCAGTAGCAGGTTCTCCTCTATGGTCTATGAGCTCTCCAGCCACTGGTAGGGGGCATGGATTCTCTCCTGCTGAGCAGGCCTTAAGTCTAATTAGACAGCTGTTGATTATCCCCCAACTAAAAGAGCCACTATTGCACCATTAGGAATATTTAGCTGGGCCTGTCATTGCTGTGATTTGTAGGCTTTACAGCTGGGTAGGGCTATTGATTGCTTTTCTCCCTTGGCAGCTTGCACAGCACCTTCTGATACTATGAGAGCCAGTCCTCAGGGATTCCAGATTAGTTCCAGCTCCATTCTGCCAAGTGCTGTGTCCAAAGTGTGTGGTATCCTCAGCAATAGGTACTGCCTTCTAGTTCTGGGAGGCAACAAAGGGCAATGGCAATAGCCCATTTGTTTTGGGAGTCTCTTGGACTGCCCTAGTAATGTCCTTTTAAGTATAAGCTCAGAGAGATGGCAGTTAGGGGCTTTTACAAGAAAGCATTCTGACAGTCAATGAAAGTCAAGGTGAAATACAAACACAACATCACCACTAACAATAATTTGATAATCACCTTGTTTTTTTTTACTGTTATTTTTTATTACAGAAAATTTCAAATATATTAAAAAATGTATAAATGACAGTAGAGTGGACCACCATTTACACATCTCAAATAACCATCAAATCAAGGCTTACTTTATAAACAAAGTATTAAAGATTAAAGTATCAAAGATTAAAATCAAAATACATTTTGAGCCAGGTGTGGTGGTGCATGCCTTTAATCCCAGCATTCTGGATTAAAGAGACAGGTGGATCTCTGTGAGATCAAGGCCAGCCTGGTCTATATAGTGAGTTCCAGGTCAGCTGGGGCTACAGGGAGACCCTGTCTCAAAAAAAAGATACAATTTAAAACCCTGGAAGTCCGAGGAGATTCCTGGAGGTCTATGATACAGGAAGTAAGATGTGAGCTTAGCTATGTGCCCCCGCTCATTATTGCTCTACAAATACTGCCATGAGTATTTTATCTTTCTGTGATAGTATAAACTTTAAAGAGTGAAATCTTTGCTTTTTTCAGTTCCCTGCTCTGATTGCTCAATTATTTTAAAAGAACATATACTTTAGTCTTAAAATATTATTTTATTCTGAGACTGTAGTTTTTGATTACCAGTATATATTGAAATAGATTAAATACATTGTCTTTAAGATTATTTAGCTTGATGCGCCAACATCTCAGCGTTAGTAGCAAAAACAATGAGCCTTTCTGTAAGAAACAATATATTTTAAAGTGAAACGGAGATCTTTTTTAAAGCTTAAAAACTCATTCAATTTTGTCTTACAGGGCTTATACTGAGTTCAGTATTGTATAACTGTATTAATTCAATAGCGAACCTAAAAATTTTTGTAGTGAAATGCTTTTTCTAGTCATATAGTTATTAAAAAATTTTAAAATGATTAAAAAATATAATTCTTCAAAGCATAAAAATTTGTTCCTGCTGGGCATGGTGACACACGCCTTTAATCCCAGCACTCGGGAGGCAGAGGCAGGTGGATCTCTGTGAGTTCAAGGCCACCCTGGTCTACATAGTGAGTTCCAGGACAGCTGGGGCTACAGGGAGACCCTGTCTCAAAAAGACGAAAAAAAAAAAATTTGCTCCTTAATAATTACTAGTTGTGAAAAACATTACTATTGAAATCTACCTGATGACTTCATATCCATGCTGATATGCCAAGGAGCTCAGAAAGTAACCGGCTGTGACTAGTAATAATCAGATATATAGAGATTAGAAATACATGTGCAAACATCTTAGTGTCAACTGCATTAAAAATAAAATTTTCTGTATGAAACTGTGTATTCTAATAATGAAATTGAGATCTGTTTTAAAACCCCAAACCCCATTTAATTTTATGTCTTACAGGGTTTATACTGAGTACACTATTGTATAACTGCATTAATTTAACTGTAAACCTAAAAATTTACAGCCAATTTTGAAAGAGATGCATCTTAGCTCTGGAATTTGTTATTGAATATGCCAATACTGTTGTAATGAAATTACAGCCAATTTTGAAAGAGAAGCATCTTAGCTCTCAAATTGTTATTGAATATGTCAATGCTGTTGTAACGAAATGCTTCTTCTAATTATGTGCTTATTAAATAAATAATTAAAAAAGGTTATTTAGCTTGAATTAAAATTCACAAATAGTTTATTGTGGATTGTAATGCCACCAGAGAATAATTAGTCTTGACAAATCACTTACCAACATTAGCATAATATTTCTTTTCTTGCTTATTTGTAGATAATTCATACATGTCTCCATAAGCACGAGCAAGCCTCCACATAAACTCTGTTTCATTGTTAAACTGAAAAGACAGACTTGCACATTAGATTAATGCATTAATTTATCCAGACTATAATTATTTTTATTTTAATTTTAAAAGGACAGGCAAGTACACTGACGTTCATAGAAAACTGAATTTATACATAAGGATATTTAACATTTTAAATACAAATATTTATGTCTAAGAATATAGCATTTGAATCTTAAATCCATTAATAGTATACAGACACTAGTTCCACCTATGTAGAAGACAGAATTGACGGGAACCAGATCTGTGCATTCTCTCTGGGCTAAGGGCACACTATCTTATTATCCTTTATAAGTTATCTAGTATCAGTATCAGTTTACTGAGCATTATAGGTGTTTGTGAGTTGAAGTGCATTTACTCAAAAGGGAAGTGATAGCTTTTACCTAAATAAGCTAATGGTAATCCTCAATATTCTTAAAGTCTTAAAATTTTTTATTGAAAGATAACAGCTGCATATCTTTGTAGCACACAGTGTGATGTTTTGGTACATTTGTACATTGTGGGTTGATCAACTTAGGACATATAAGTTTTAGATAAAGTGTTTTGAATTGCAAAATCCTCAAACATTAGGCTTCAATTGCTCATGGGGGAAAGGATTTTATTTCTCCTTTGGCTATTACAGCTGCCTAATCAGTGTAGTTGTGAGAGGCCAACATTAAACACTTCAGGGTGAGCTTTAAGTACTGATGGCTGTTATATTGATAACAATAAAGAAAACTTAAAATACAATTTTCATTCTTTCCAGAGAAAACCTATTATATGCCTTGGTGCTAAACCTTCTTCGTGTTACAAATATATGTTAAATATTGAAGTTAATAAAACAGTAAATCTATATGTCTGGTTCCTATTTTTGTGACCTTAGATAAGTCTAATTAACTCAGATTTAATTTTTTGAAAATTTACTCGTTTTATAGAAAATTTTTACATCAATCATTTAGTTTACATGAACTGTGATGCAATTATTATAGTCATAATATGAATGGGATAATACATTAAATACAGAATGAAAACTACACGAACATGTTATCTCAGCTCTTACCTTTTCTTTGTGGTCACAAAGTAGTTCAAAACTCTCCGTTTTGCCAGCCTCATTTAAACGCAAATGATCTACTTTCTGAAGGAGGATATCCAAATTTAATTCCTCTATGTATGTGTTAAAAGCCTTAGGGACTGGAAAACTCTGTTCTTCCGTGTCAGTATTAGCTGTAATATACCTAAAATCGCAGAAATAACTATCAACTCCTTTTAAACTTGTACATAATGGCAAAAGCAATCCTTTTAAAATGCAAGTCAAACTGTGCGACTCTTGTGCTTGAAAAATGCAGTGGCACCCAATGTCACAGACAGAAACAGTTCAAGTCCTAAAGGCCTATGAGGACTGGGCCATTTGTGCTCTAATCCCAATACTTTCCTGTCTTAATTTCATTCATTCAACTCTACTCTGGTTTCCACCTATCCCTTAAGCCTGTCAAGCATGCTCTGACCTCAGGACCTTTACTTGCTGCTCTTTCTGATGGAATATTCTTCCCTTAGATAGCTGCATAACCTACACTCTTAACTCTTTACATCCTTGCACCAATGTCATTTTCTTGGAGCTGCAACCCCTATCCCCTCTTCACCTTCGACCTCTGATATGCTTGACTTTCTAATTACTCCAACCCCTAATTATTCTACAAAAACAATCTTACTGGGTGTGTTATTTTTTTCACTATCAGCTCCACTAGCACACCTGCTCCCTTGTGGTAAGGTTCATTAACTGCAGTACTAAGTGCCCAAAACAGTGCTGCATAGTGTATATCTACTGGATGTTGTTGAACAGATTACACAAGGTTGCAGGAACTCAGCAAGCACTCAAAAATGTGTGTGCGTGCATATTTATACAGGCATATGTATTCATCAATAATTGAAAATGATGTTATCACTTTGTGTGCAGCGTATGTGTGTGTTCAAAGCAGTATCTAGTCTTTCAACAAATCCCATTACTAGCTTTGAAGTATATTCAGAATCTAGCCATTTCCCACCACCTCTCCACCATTACCCTGGTATAAACCATCACCACCATCTTCTTTGGATCAATGCAATGGCTTATTATCTTTCTCCCTGGTTTAATCCTTGACCTTGATAGTCTATTTCAACACGGCAGCCAGGGGTTGCTTTAAAATCCCCACTCACTCAGATCATGCCACTCCTTTGCTTAAAACCCTCCTACAGACAGCCAAATCAGAGCAAAAACTTAGGCACACACGAGTCTAGGAGGCTCTCATAACCAGCACAATACCTGTGATCTCATCTTCTATCACTTTCTGTTTGCTCACAGCATCTGGGAATTCAGCTTCCTTGATGTTCTTTGAGTCCACCTGTCACTTTCCTACTTTAAGAGCTTTGCATTTGCTCTTCCTTCTGTTTGTCATGCTGTACCCGGGGTACCCATGCAGCTTACTTTACCATTTCCTTTTTTTTTTTTTTTTTTTTTTTTTTTTTTTTTTTTTCTTTTTTTTTTTTTTTCTTTTTTTTTTTTTTTCTTTTTTTTTTTTTTTTTTTTTTTTTTTTTTGTCTTTTTGAGCCAGGGTCTCTTGCAGCCCCAGCTGGCCTAGAACTAACAGAGATCAGTCTGCCTCTGCCTCCGCCCCATTGCCTCTGCCCCTGCCCCTCTGGCCCTCTGCCCCCTGTGCCTCTCTCTATGCCTGCCTCTGCTTCTCTGCCTCTCTGCCTCTGCCTCTCCAGTGCTGGGATTAAAGGCATGAGCTACCACACCTGGCTTCACATACTTTCTTAAATGTGACCTTCCTATTCTTAGGTGGTGTTACTACTTAATGGACAATATAAAAGAAGTTACAAATTATATGGTTAGTAGATGACTAGAGAATTGTCTGGATATAAGATTAACATATGAAAACCACTTTTTTTCTGTATTTAAGCAGCAAAAAACCTAGAAAAGCATCATAAAAGATTCAATTTATAATTATCTCAGAGAATATAAAACATTTAGATATAAATATAATGATGATGATTATGTGAAAGTTCAATGGAAAAGTTATAAAACCTCAATGGAGAAAATCATATGTTGTTTTAAAAGATATTTACAAATGACCTAAATTTGTGGAAAATATGTCATATTTCTGACTAAGAATGACAAATGTCATAAATATGTGATTTCTCTTCAGAATAGTTTACAGATTCAAAGCAATTCCAATTTATGAGCGTTGGAACTTAATAAAAGCAATTCTAAAAGTTATATGGAAAGAGTCTAGAATAGTCAAAGCATTATTGAAGGAAAAGAGCAAAGAAGACTTACCCCAACAGATTATGACACTATCATAATTTTTAATTGTTTTTAAGACAGAGTCTCACTATTTAGCCCAGGTTGTCTTGTAACTTGCTATTTAGCCCAGGTTGGCCTTGAACTTGAAAGCTTCCTGCCCCATCCTCACAAGTGCTGGGATCAGAGGCATGTGCCACTACACCCATCTTAAAAAGCTGTAATAATTAAAGAAACTGTAGTATGGTACAGTGCCCTGATTAGAAAGATTTTTTTTTTATTATACAAAGCCCTAAGAAATACATTGACAAATAAATAAATTGACATTGTCTATTATAATAAACAATCAGACAGGCTGCAGGATATGAAATCAATACACAAAAACCAATTATATTTTTATATAGCAACAATCTAAAAATCAAAGAACACAATTTCATTTGTGATAGCTTTAAAAAGAATACAGTTATCAGAAATGGGTAGTAGGCCAGCCTTAAACTGAGAACTATTTGAGACTGATTGATGCTGGATGAGGGAGAGTATGTCTTATATAAGATCTCTAGATGGGCTGACTAGACTCCAGTGGACGAATTTACATTGAAGGACATCTGGGTACAAATTCTTGACTGGATGGGACTTAATGTGTATGGTGGAATACATGAGGTTGGGTGGGGGGATGGGGGGAATGGATGGAGGAGGGGGCCTAAATTTGATTAAGAACTGTTGCATAAAACCTCAAAAGCCCAATAAGGAATTAAAAAAAGAAATATGTTTAACAAAGAAATGCAAGACTTAACTAGAAATTTAAACATGATTGAAATGAAAGAATATCTAATACACTAACTAAACGAAATCTCATATTCATGAATTGAAAGAGTAATGTTACAATGGCAATATTCTTGAATTAATAGATTCAAAACAATTTTTATTAAAATTCCTGCTATCATTCCCCCAAGATATTGAAAAAAAAAATGGATCTTGAAATTCATGTGGAAGCTTGGTATGACTGGGAGGCAGAGGCAGGAGAATGGACAGTTAGAGGCCAGCCTGGTCTACACAGCAAGTTTGAAGCTCTTGGGAATATATATATATATATAGACCCAGAACAGTCAAAATTTTTGTATAAGAAAAAAGTTAAGGGGACCAGAGAAATAGCTCAGTGGTTAAGAGCACTGGTTGCTCTTACAGAGGACCTGGGTTAGGTTCCCAGCACAACCATCCATAACTCCAGTGTCAGGAGATCTGACACCCTCTTCTGGCCCCTATGGGCACTGTAGGCAAATGGTGTACTTACATGCAGGCAAAACACTCATACACATAGAATAAAAAGAAATACATTTTAAAAAAGAAAACAGTTAAGGTCTCTTACTGTCTGGTTTCAAAATTTATTGCAAAGTTATAGTAATCAAGACAGCATGGTACCAGCAGGAGGATAAGCACAGTGAATAGACACTGAAGGTCTGTTAAGAACTAAGAGTCTGAGTTGGGCGTGATGGCACACGCCTTTAGTCCCAGCACTCAGGAGGCAGAGGCAGGTGGATCTCTGTGAGTTCAAGGCCAGCCTGGTCTACATAGTGAGTTCCAGGACAGCTGGGGCTACAGGGAGACCCTGTCTCAAAAAAAAAAAAAAAAAAAAAGAAAAAGAAATAACAATTGCTGAGAAGGGCAAAACAGGACTGCCATCATTTGAAAATTGTTAAATGGAACAGAAAACCTAAAACTATTTACAAAAAAGTAAGTCTAGCAAAGATTTCTTATGAGTTCCTGAAATTTGTGTTCCTAAACACGATTAAGCAAGCTAAGATACAGTTTTGTGGCATATAGGATATGTAATAGGAGGAAAACTATAAGGTGCTTCTCTAGAAGCTACTTATGACTTGTGCCTAAATATTGCAAAAGACATTCCTGGAGAGGAAAATTTACCATTACACAAATTTTATATGGCCCTAATTTAATCTATATATTTAAAGCATTTCTAAGCGAAATCTCAAAGAGATTTTTTCTGTGGAACTTACATGACCCTAAATTTCATATGAAAGAGCAAGCAGAGCCGAGATAGTTTTGAAGAACAGATATCAAGGCCCCAACATAAAGATGAACCTTCAGAAATTATGCCACCATGGCACTGGCATCACAATGAACACACTGCCTGCCTCTTTTTCACATTACAACCACACGAATGTGGGAAAACTGCTTTCCTACTTCAGACAGGGATCTTTTCTTTACAAATGGGCATTCTGAGAAAATTATAAGAAAGTTATGAAATCCAATTAAAAAAATAGGATATACTCAAATATGACTGGGAAAATAATTAACTACATCTACTACTTTGGGTTAGAGATCAGTTTTTTACTGTCACCCAAACACTCCCCAAAATGTATGTCATACACTATTAGGTGTCAATTATAAGAAGTTTCCAATTTTTTTGGGGGGGGTCTTTTTGAGACAGGGTCTCCCTGTAGCTCCAGCTGCCTAGAACTCACTCTGTAGACCAGGCTGGCCTTGAACTCACAGAGAATCTGTCTGCCTCTGCCTCCCAAATGCTGGGATTAAAGGCGTGCCCTACCACACCTGACCCAATTCCCTTTTATCAAGCCTAGAGAAGTTCATCTTCTGAAAATGGCAAACATTACAAACATTTATCCCCGCATACTCTTCTGCTTTTATTTACTGCTCCTAATGTTAGTGAGGACCACAGCCTGTCCTTTACCTTTTGATTCTATAGGATCAGCAACTGGCTTCCAGATCAATAATACTACCTGAGAGGCAGAGCCACATTATTTGAAAAGAAAATGGTAACAGAGTGAAAATAAAGCAGTATATTTATAAAAGAATCTCACTACTGATTTTCAGAGTTACCCTTGTTTTCCCCTGGAACAAAAGGCTGGCTTCAGTAGTTTTGTGGGGGACCTAGAAACTAGTCAAAGATTTGCAACAACTAGGCAACTGTCCAATAAA